TACATATATAATTCTTAACAATTATATTTATATCTTATATTTACAAAAATATAAATAAAGAAATTTGATAATTGTTATATAATCTTAACATTAATCATTTATAATATTAATTAATTTTATATTGTAAAGAAATATTATGTTTTAATTTTAATATAAATCTACTTTAATTTTTACTTTAATCAATTTTAATAATTAATTAAATATAATAAGCATTAAATAAATAATAATTGCATAACATTATTGAAAATAATAAATAGAATAATTTACATATTATTATATCAAAGTAACAAAATATTACATTAGAATAATAGATAATTTACTACACAATTTTAATTTATTATATAAGTTCGAAAAAAATATTATTTTTCATAATGTTATAAATATTTTATAATATGTATAATAATGCAATATTATAAATTTTCATTTTTTCAAATTTTATAAGATTATACTATTTACAATTAGAAATAAAAAAATTAAAAAAAATGTTAGATAAATTCTTAATTATTTTTAACTATAATTTTAAAAAACAATTCATAAATTAATATTAATTATTAAATTAACTTATATTTTAAAATTAATAAATATTTAATGACTTATAGATAAAAGTATATATTCTGTTGTCGGTCTTCTTATTAAAAATTACAAATATCTATTTTAATGAGATTTTCGAGCTTTACTCAGACGCTCTCGAAAAGAATTGAATTTGGTTTGTCATGTTGAATGCTAGACGAAGAAACAGGTTCTCTGATTCGTTTTATGGGTAATAGGAAATTCATGTCAAATGGTGATTATTAGCATGCAAATATATGCGTGAAAAGTGAATTTTAGAAGTTTCAATCGTGACCACCAACGCGTTCGAATGCATTCCATGGATCAACTGACCGAGACGATCGAACTGTTTAACTTGATTCGGCCGTAAGAAACGCGGTCACATTCGAAAATTCTAACCTGAGACTTAGATGCAGTAAGAAGTTGCGATTCGGTACTCTTTGAAATGTAAGATCTGATATGAGTAGTTAAGAAAAAGAATCTTTGAAATGAAAGAACGTACGGAGAATATTGGGAAATTGAGTTGTGTTCTAAGATTTTTTTGAGTTTATTTCTAATATTGTAATGGATAAATAATCTACTATTTAATCTACTTTTTACTATTTGATAGAAATATTTAAGATTAATTAAAAAATTTAAAAAATTTTTTTTTTATATTTTAGAATTTTCGCATTGTAGAATTTTCAAAAAATGAAAAAATGAAAAAATGAAAAAAGTTTAAAAATAATTTAAAATTTAATTTATTTCATTAAAAAATTTTAAAATTTTTGATTTTCTACTTTTTAATTTTAATTTCTAAATTTTTAGTTTCTTTTTTCAATTTTTTAAAATGTAATCAGCTGTATGAAAGATAGTTACATGTTCTAAAACATTAAATATTTTTAATGCGATTTGTACATATTATTATGTACCTATATATAATTTTCTTGTCTAATTTTTTCGAAATTTTATCATAAAATTTTTATATTCTTAAATTGAAATATCCACAAATATAAAAAATTATTAAAATAAAAAAAAATAAAATTAACAGAAAAAATATTTAAAATATATATACAGCTATTTCATTATAAATAATAATCTTCTAATATTACATAATTTGGAATCATGCACATCCATTCTGCATTTTTATTTATATTTCTACATTGCAATGATTATCAATTAAATAGAAAAAATTCACAAAAAAGAAAACAATATAATATATTGGATTTTATATAATAAGGCGATGAATGCGAAAATTATCACATGCTCATAATCGGCATAACCGTGGGCACAAATTTAAACTTTGATTGATCGAATAGATCTATCTGGTAAACAAAAACTAATAAATAAATCGAGCTGTAACACTCGGAAAATGTCCAAATTGCAACACGGTTTTATATGGTCAAAATTTTATATGGATGAAATTTTTTTTTTACCAAACCATACTATACTTCAATAAGTACATAATAATATGTACAAATCGCATTAAAAATATTTAATGTTTTAGAATATGTAACTATCTTTCACACAGCTGATTACATATTGTGATTCCCGCTTGATTGAAATTTTCCATTTACACTTGGAATTTTTATCGTATATTTTTTTACAAATATAATATTTTTATTTAAATAATGTGTTATATATTTGGAGTAGCTGGAGTTATGTAAATTCGGTGATAGTATGACTTAAATATTAGATTACTTGAATAAATTATGATATATTGTAAGTGAAAAAAATTTTAATTGAAGCATAAATAATATGAAATTTTTCATTAATTTGCTTTCGAATCGTTAAGACTTTCATATTTTTCACATCAATAATTTTCAATTTAATATATTAAAGAATTTTTAATTTCGAATTTTTAATTATATACGTAAGTCAAACATTTAATGAATACATATTTTGAATATTTTAATTAGACTTAGATTTCTAATACCAAAAGATATAATATGTTCGGTTTATTTGTGAATAAGAAAATATTTTGAAAAATATAAATGATACGAAAAAAATTTTGATAATGATCAGACAAAAATTTTTTGATATAAAGAAATATTATATTATATTATATCATGCAATATTAATAGTTTCTCTATAAATAGAGAATAATGTATAAAGATTATGAACTTTAGTTTTTCAATTAGAATTACGTCAAATATATAATAATTTTTATATTATCGATTTTTTCATTTATATTCATGGAAAAAGTATTAAGTTATTTATATCGAAAAATCTTTAATTTAAAAGATATCGTAATTTAAAAATTATTATTATTATGTAATAATTATTATTAAAAATTTTCTTATTTTTCTTAATGAGTTTTAAATATGAATTTCAAATAACAATATCTCCTAAACTAAAAATTTTTCAAAATAAATAAGTTTGTATTTTTTTTTATAAAAAATAATGAATTGTATCGATTAAAATGTGTCGAATAAAAATCATATAGTTTCATTTAAAAAATTAAGTTATCATTTAAAGTTTAATTTTTATATCATCTCTCAATTTAATTAGAAAAATTATTAATAATAATATATTATTATTTAATATTATTATTAAACAACTTTTGTCTGAAAAATTTTTTTATATCATTTATATTTTTCAAGATTTTACTATTGACAGATAAAGTGGACACAATATATATATATATAAATAATTAGTTGCTTTTAATGATATATTATTCAATAATTAGAAATTTAAGAATTTGACAAACAACAAAAAGATTCTATAATTTATTTACATTAATTATGGACGTCAATCAATAAAAAATTCTAATTATTATTAATCAATAAATTTATAAAATGCATTCCATTAAGAATAAAAATATTTAAAAAATAAATAGTACACATAATAATATAATATATTTTCTTTTTCGAAATTCTTCATTTCTTTGACAGTGAAGAAAAATAGAGTTCGAAACGATTTAAACTTATTCATTATCGACAAAACGATCAATGAAATTGACGCATGGTTCGATTGAATCCGCGTTGAAGACAAGTTGGAAGGTTAAGCGAAAATTAACAAAACGGTGTCTAGCATTGAAATGGGAAAATTCCTGAAACGTGTGCGGCCGCTCTAACAACTAGAGCAATCCGATGGTGGAGTTGCAACAGAATTGCATTCGAAGTTTTGCGGCGACCTTGCGTAACTACGACCCGAAGCTGGCATTTGGGAAATCGTTAGGAGAAATTTATTCATCGCCTTCAGTCTCGATTGTTCCTAGTTAACTATTAGTTTTCTCTCTTTTTTCTTCGTTTGTTCAAATTCTAAAAAATAAA